GGCCATGGCTCACGGGCCCAGCCGCTCCGCGGCATGTGGGATCTTCCCGGACCGGGGCATGAACCCGGGTCCCCTGCATCGGCAGGTGGACTTTCAACAACTGCGTCACCAGGGAAGCCCCACATGTACTTTCTTAAGCCAAAGAAATTACGAATGGTAGAACTTTCAGACACAGAGTGGACCAATATAAGACTCTTTCTCCTTCTCATAATAATGGCAATAATGAGAGCAGCTGAGCTTACTGAGCACTGTTCTAATAGCTGCGCTTGCATACATGTTTCCTCTCAACTCCTTTAACTCTCACAACAACCCTATGAGTTGGTTACTGTTATTATTTATATTTTACAGCTGAAGAAACTATGCCAAGGAAAGATTACTTTCCAAAAAATAAAAAAATGAATAAAGGAGCTAGTAAATGACAGAAACGTAATTAGAACTCTGTCTCTAAACCATACACTGAACTGCCTTAGGTTCTGAGGATAAGTACCTAGAACAGTGCCTGCCACAGAGTAGCCACTCAGTAAGTACCTTCTGAATGAATACTGCTCCATGCATAATACCAGTCCAACAGTGGAGATGCAAGTCCACTGGTGATATTTAACCCTTAAGATCCATATATAACATTCTGAGTAATTTAAAAATTTTCTCTATATTAACCATGGGGCAATTTACTGCAAAGGGCTAGGAAGATTACTGTAGTGTCAACGTTTGCATTTAATCACCCTAGGCTTCCTCTCTGGGCTTAGCAAATCCAAATCACGTGACAGGTAAATGAGGTCTTTCAGTTGATGTCAATACTCAGGTTTGATACTTGACAGGTAGCATGATTGAGAGGGGTAGTCTATGGTTTGCAAAGCAGTGCTTGGCCACACATATGTTTCATTTCATTTGCTGTTGATGTGGCACTATATCATTTAGAACACTACTAAGCACACAGCAGTGAGTAAGAGCAAAAATCCTGACAAAGGATAAAACATAGATATGACTGTATTTTAAAAAAAAAAATTAAAAAGTGGAGGAAGTTCTATTAGTTTGAATTTTATCCCTGAGTAACAACCAGCTGAGCTTTGCATGAGCCTCCAAAGCTTTCTCAAAGCAGATGGGATCTTGGTTTTTTGTCAAAATTGACAGGGCCAGAAGGATCTCCTAGTGTGAGAAGTTGGAAGTGGGCTCTTGTCTCACTGCGTGAGGCTGGGATATCTGTGCACTTTTACTGTAAACTGCTTTGTTTTGCTATTCAATGAGAGAACAGTATCCACTGTCGTTTCATGAACCATACCTCAGTGGAAATTCCTATCGAGAGCCATCTGTCTGGAATAAAATGAATGGCGTATCTGGTTTCTCCCTCTGGGCTTTCCAAAATCTGATTCAAAACATGGCAAGGCCGGTTGTGTTGTGTGTGGATTTGGAATGAAACAACAGAGAATGCCAGGAGAATGTCATATTAAATGCCACAAAGGCAAATGCCTCAGGGGGGAAAAAAAGTAATTTTGTCCTATGGTGATTTTAATGATTGAGAAACTAATGAACAATGTTGACTGTTCCTTACAAAATGTTGATTACCCATAGTCTTTAAAATGGACATCTACAAACCATTTTTGTAAATCAGATTCCAGAGTTATAAAACCTGATTCTAAAACTTGATAAACAGTATTTTAAAAAATAAAACCTTTCTGATATTTTGCCCATCTACAACTGAGTGAGCTGTCAACTGCTGGAATTGGAACTCCAATTCCTTTGCTTCAGATTTTAGATGGTTTCATTAAATATGAAAGTAACTTAAATGACATAGTAGATGCTTAGGGCATAGGCAACTTCCAGTAACACAGAACAAGATTAGAGTATTTGGTAGAATAGTTTGGAATGCGATGCACTGCATAGATTTCAAAACTTACTTGATGCTGTTGAAAAGTGTTAATATTGCCTCTAATTTTCAGACTAAATCCTGAAGATTGTTTTCTTCAATTTATGAGGCTTTTAGGACAAACTTGGCTATGAGAAACAGCTCTGATGAAGGAATTCAGAAAACTGAGTGCAACAATAGTAAAAAAATTAGAGAGTAAGAGTCATATTCTTGGCTTTTAAAAACTTTTCACTTAAGGAGAGAGAATTCCCAGACCTCACTTGTGGATATAAAACCAAGAATGATTAGAAGCCCTAAGACTGAGAAGAATGGGTCCAAAACCTTATAAAGAATCCTGATTAAGGTGCCATGACATTTGTGCCTACAGTTTCTCAAACATCAATCTGGCCTTGCAATTTCCTTCTAACAATACATTTCATTCCTCCAGTATTGTCTACAACAGCACATGGTCAACAGATAAACTCTATTGTCATATAGCATAAAAGTCCTCAAAGGGTAGTATACAGGAGACAGAAAGTTTACATGACTGAAACTTCAGGATTGTCAAAACATTATGAAGAAGATACTAAACTTTTATCCCTTCTAACCATCTCTTGAAATGAGATTATCATCAAGCAAAGTTTGAAAGTTGGTTGTCCATGTTTTATTCTGGGCTGAGATTTGGTTCTCATTGTTTTATTCTCTTATCACCCTTCTGGATGTAAGGCTTTAGTCTTCTTCTGTTTTCTGCAGGAAAGTCTGCAGATTAATTTCCCTAAAGTCAAAACATACACAAGTTTACCTGCATTTGCTAAAGCAAATACTATTACTTATCACTCACCCTTTGGGAATGAAGAGCTTTTGTTTCTGAAAATTCATATTATATGGTGACGTTCTCTTTCAATAAGCTTAATAAAATAGAGTTAAGGTGGTACCTTGGCACAGGAATTAATATGCCGAATGTTACTGGTTATTATTCTTTATGAAGAATTGTTACACACATCCAATGCACACAATGACTATGTGGAACCTAAGCATCACCCATGACCATAAGTAGAGGTAATGGAGTCCTTGAACAGCATATTTCATGTTCCTTCTAAAACATGAGATCATATAGTCTGAAATGGGGCCATGTGAAAAAAAGCTGTTAAAATAAATACCGTAGAGTCTAACAGGCAAAGATATACCTATACCTATTCCTTTACAAATAATAATAGCAGCTAACATTGCATTTAACATATTGCTGAGTACTATTCTCGGTGCTTTACATATAATAACTCTTTAATCCTCACAAAAACTTTATGCAGTAGGTATTATTGTTATTACCATTTTTACAGGGAGGGGGGAAAATGTCAGTGATAGGCTAAGTAATTTGTTCAAATGCCACAGAGTCACTAAGTGGTCAAAGTTGGATTTAAACCCAGGTAGTCTTTCAGAGCCCACAATGCCTCATTCTTGTTCTCTGTCTCATGAAGTCAATGGCTTGATATTTTGATGTCATCAGTGACGTTTTCTCAAACTCCACTACTACTGCTGATGAAACATTTTGGGGGCATTCTTCAAAGGATTCCGATTTTGGTTTATAGCAATTTTGGTTTGGTTTATGCTACAAGCCACCAACCAACTCGTTCACACCACAAAAATATTAAACTGTACCAAATGTCTTTTTACTAAAAATATTTTCAAAAAATACTAGGGTGCAGGACTTCCCTGGTGGTGCAGTGGTTAAGAATCCGCCTGCCAATGCAGGGGACACGGGTTCGAGCCCTGGTCCGGGAAGATCTTATATGCCGTGGAGCAACTAAGCCCGTGCACCACAACTACTGAGCCCACGTGCCACAGCTACTGAAGCCCACGCGCCTAGAGCCCATGCTCTGCAACTAGAGAAGCCACCGCAATGAGAAGCCCGTGCACTGCAACGAAGAGTAGACCCTGCTCGTCGCAACTAGAGAAAGCCCACACGCAGCAATGAAGACCCAACGCAGCCAAAAAAAACAAAAAACAAAAAAAACAAAAAAAAACTGGGGTGCAAGGAAGCCCAGAGATTAACCACTGAATGTGGACTTATTCCACAGTCTCAAATGCTACAGCTGTTAGTCACCAAGAAAGGAGGTGATCACATTTAGCAAACTGCTACTCACTATATAAATGTAAGGTATTTTTTACTGTTAAACTTTTATTCTGAGCCCTAACATGTTTTGAGGTATTCAAGTCTATCTTGGGACACAAAATATTGGTTTAAATGATCAGAGTTATTTTGGATGAACTTTGACTTGCCAAGAGTTTTTAGGAACAATATAACATATAATCACAAATCTTATTCCTTTGGACACAACCAGACCTCTCATTACTACGCTTTCTTCATATAAACTGTTTCTCTGGATCTGAGGTCTGAAGAAGACACAGAGGTTGATATTATGCATAAAATAGAACAAAGTAGTGTGAACAATATGCTCTTCAAACCTGGACAGGATTCCAGTATCATGAAGTGACAGAGGTCCTGACTTCTGGGTCAAAACTAGACTTATGAGGCTATGAGGATCAAAAATTCTTCAGCACATCCTTGAAAAGGGAAATAAACAAAAGATTTTCTTTCCAGAATGAGTCTAATGGCATTATTAAGGAGAGCTGGACAAAGGAAAGCAAAACATAGAGCACGTCCTTGTAAGTCTCAGTGTCTACCTCCATGTAAGGTTGGTAAATGTTTAGACATGTATATATTTATTTACTTTTACAGCCTTATAACTAGAGCAGTGGTTCTCACAAGGGTGATTTTGCCCTCCCACTCCCCCAACCCGGGACATGTGGCAATGTCTGGAGACACTGTTGGCTGTCACAACTTGAGGTGAGGGTCTACTGGCCACGGACGCTGCTAAGCATCCTATAATGCACAAGACAGCACCTCACAGCAACTCATCCAGCCCCAAATGCCAACGGTGCCAGGTTGAGAAACCCTGGACTAAAGGAATAGACTTTAGGAAGGCCTAAAATCTAGACCTACAGAGGAGGTGGTACATCTGGGAAAGTGACTCTTGATTCAATCATTTTAACAATAAGCATTCGAAAATGTGTTATTTGCACCTGTTGATCACGTAGGCACATAGCTAGATTCTCAAAAGCAGTTGAGAGGGACTAGGTAGTTACAACTCCTCCCCCCATCCCACCCCGCTTCTCAAAGATAGGATCCTCACCCCAATTAGGGAGAATATCAGCTATGGATGCCTTCATGTTTTCCCTCTGATGAGGACTGCTGCCATGTGACTCCTGTTCTGTGTAGCTGTCTTTGCGTCTTAAGTTGTATTCTTATGCCACATTGAAGGAACTCATACAGGCTTTGCTGGGATAAGTATCTTTCCAACAATAATATCACCATACCATTGTGACAGTGTGCATTGTCACATAATAAAAAACTGTCCATTTCTTTATACTCTCTGCAGTATATTCCCACGTAAATGATGTGTCTTTCCTTTTCACACTTTCTTTTCTCTGCTTCTTCTAAGCTTTCAGGCATATATTTATCTTACATGGTTTATATTTCTTTGTAATTATTCTCTGGTTATTTCATGTGGATATTTTGCTCACTAGATTCTGGACCAGGGTAAGAGCTGTATCTTCGATCTCCTTTGAAATTCCCTCTACACCTAGTATAGGTCTGAGCACAAACAATCATTTAACAGCGTGTTGAACAAACTAACCAATAATATGCACATAAACGAGACAGTTGAATAAAATCCACAATAAATCTTTCTATGCTGATATTCCACTGGGCATATAAGGCTGATTGGAGCACTCATAAAAACACACACACCAAACCAACAACATATTAAATATCTATAACAATAAACTCAAAGAATGATTATAATATGGTATTGCTTAAATATAATGTACAGTTTCTTGCTTGGTAGAAATGTTAAAAGGACCTGAAAGAGGAATTACATTTACTCTTTCTTATTTTCTATAAAGCAATCAAGTGAGGCAAAATGCTGAGCATTTAAGCCTCTCAGTATCAGTGCACTGATGTGTAGAAATGGATGGACTCTGGTTACATACTGATTGTATGCAAAATCAGAAAGCATTAAGTAAACTTAATTACTTGCTGTTTCTGTTAAATGCTGTGAATAAGCCAAGTACTTTAAACAACCCCAGTAGCTGGCTTCAGTAGAGATGTATTCAACAATTGCTTGCAAACAATTAAATATTCAGTGCACTCAAATAGCTATGTTTTCTGGAATCTTCTCATTCTTTCACAAAAGGGATCATTCCCCAATATTAAAAACATTGTACCTGAGTCATGAAAACTAACATTTAAAAAAAATCCAAGAACTTCCTGATCCAATATAACCAAAGAGTATTGATCACTTAAAAATGCTTACCTGGGATGAAAAAGTACACACTAGGAAGTCTGCCTGGGAGAGAAAGTGTATATCCAGGATCACACCTCGAAGTGAATTTTCTGTGTATCGATTATGTAGTCCAGCTGACCAAGAGATAGAGTTATCACTAATAAATTCATAACTGGGATACCTGAAAAAAGAAATAAATTTATATAAACTCACTGAAATCATAGAATTCTGTCAGGAAATAGTATCCTATCAGCAGGAGGTAGCCAGCTCCTTTAACCAAGAGTCCCCCTCTTTCTGACAGTAAGGAAAGCTTTAATTCTGGCATTCAGTAGAGTAGCTGACAAAGCATCTTTGAATCCATTGATGGGGCAGAAACCATTCTGGGGTGTCCTGTATGTTAAAAGTTATTGGCATGACATATAAAATACACCTATGCACCAGAATGTCCCTTTCAATTCACGAAAGAATGGAAAACAGAAAGCTCTTTACTTTCATAGTAATAAGTGACCTTGAAGAGGTTTTTCAACCTGCTTTCATATTTTTTTCACACACACACATTTTCATTTTATGCATTCCTTTCCCACTTTTATCCTTAAGATTATATCTTTATAAAAATATAACTTATACATTGTTTTTTCTTCTTCCAGTTTTATTGAGGTATAATTTTTTAAAAGATCTATTTTTGTTTTTGGTTGCATCAGGTCTTAGTTGCGGCATGCAGGATCTTCACTGAGGCATATGGGATCTTTCGTTGCGGTGCGCAGACTTCTCTCTAGTTGTGGCCTACAGGCTCCAGAGCGTGTGGACTCTGTAGTTGTGGCGTGCGGGTTCCAGAGCACATGGGCTCTGTAGTTTGCAGCACGTGGGCTCTCTAGCTGAGGCACACAAGCTCAGTAGTTATGGCGTGCAGGCCTAGTTGCCCCGCGTCACGTGGGATCCCAGTTCCCTGACCAGGGATTGAACCTGTGTCCCCTGCATCGTAAGGCGGATTCTTTACCAATGGACCACCAGAGAAGTCCCGATTGAGATACAATTGACATACAACACTGTATAAGTTTAAGGCACAATAATCTGACTTACACACATCGTGAAATGGTTACCACAATAAGTTTAGTGAACTTCCATCATCTCATTACAGACAACATTTTTAAAAAAGGAAAAAAAAATTTTTCCTTGTGATGAAAACTCTTAGGATTTAGTCTCTTAACAACTTCTGGTTGCTGTGGCTAGGACTTTCAATACCATGTTGAATAAAAGTGGTGAGACTGGGCATCTTTGTCTTCTTCCTGATCTTAGAGGAAAAGCTTTCAGCTTTTCACAGTTGAGTATTATGTTAGCTGTTAGTCTGTGATATCTTATCGCCTTTGTTATGTTGAGGTATGTTTCCTCTACACCCACTTAGTTGAGAGTTTTATTATAAATGAATATAGAATTTTGTCCAAAGCTTTTTCTGCAACTATTGAGATGATCATATGATTTTTATCCTTTGTTTTGTTAATGTGGTGTATCACATTGATTGATTTGCAAATATTGAACTATCCTTGCATCTACTTGATCATGGCATATGATCCTTTTAATGTACTGCTGGATTTGGTTTGCTAATATTTTGTTAAGGATTTTTGTATCTCATCAATGATATCGGCCTGTAAGTTCCTCTTTTTGTGGCGTCTTTGGTTTTGGAATTGGGGTGATGTTGGCCTTGTAGAATGAGTTCAGAATTGTTCCTTCTTCAATTTTTTGGAATAGTTTGAGAAGCATAGGCATTAACTCTTCTTTAAGTATTTTATAAAATTCACCTGTGAAGCCATCTGGTCCTGGATTTTTGTTTGTTGGAAGTTTTTTGATCAATCTTGATTCAACTCCATTACTGGTAATTGGTTTATTAATATTTTCTATTTCTTCCTAATTTAGTCTTGGGAGACTGAAATTTTCTAGGAATTTATCCATTTCTTCTAGGTTGTCCATTTACTCACATATAGTTGTTTGCAGTAATCCCTTTTGATCCTTTGATTTCTGTGGTGTTGGCGGTAACATCTCTTTTTTCATTTCTGATTTTATTCATTTGGGTCCTCTCTCTTTTTTCTTGATGAGTCTGGCTAAATGTTTATCAATTTGTTTACCTTTTCAAAGAAACAGCTCTTAGTTTCATTGATCTTTTCTATTGTTTTAAGTGTCTATTTCACTTATTTCTGCTCTGATGTTTATCATTTCTTTCCTTCTACTAATTTTGGGCTTTGTTCTTCTTTTTCTTGTTCCTAGAGGTGTAAGGGTGGGCTGTGTGTGTGTGTGTGTGTGTGTGTGTGTGTATAATTATTTCAAGTGGATCTCAAGTTCGAACACATTCTAACAACTCCACAGTTTTTATTCCTGCCTTCCCCTGCCCACATTTAATGTTTTTTGATATCATATTTTACATATTTTTGTTTTGTGTATTCCTTAACCACGTATTGTGGATATAGGTAATTTACTACTTGTCTTTCAAGTTTCCTACTAGCTTTACAAGTGGCTGATCTACAACCTTTACTGTATGTTTGCTTTTACCAATGAGATTCTTCCTTTCATAATTTTCATATTTCTAGTTGTGGTCTTTTCTTTCATGCTTAAGGAAGTCCCTGTAACATTTCTTGTAAAGCCTGTTTAGTGGTGCTGAACAATTTTAGCATTTGCTTGTCTGTAAAACTCTTTCTCTCTCTTTCAAATTCGAATGGTAGCCTTGTGGGGTAAAGTATTCTTGGTTGTAGGTTTTTTCCTTTCATCACTTTGAATATATCATGCCACTCTCTTCTGTCCTGCAAAGTTTCTGCTGAAAAGTCAACTGACAGTCTTATGGGAGTTCCCTTGTGCATAACTAGTTGCTTTTCTCTTGCTGCTTTTAAGATTCTCTCTTTATCTTTATTTTTTGTCATTTTAATTACAATGTGTCTTGGTGTAGACCTCTTTGGGTTGATCTTGTTCAGAACTTTCTGTGCTTCCTGGACCTGGATGTCTGTTTCCTTTCCCAGGTTAGGGGAATTTTTGGCTATTCTTGTTTTAAATAAGTTCCCTGCCCCTTTCTCTCTCTCTTTTCCCTATGAGATCCCTATAATGTAAATGTTGGTATGCTTTTGTTGTCCCAGAGGTCTGTTAAACTGTCCTCACTTTTTAAATTCTTCTTTTTTTGTTCAGCTTGTGTGATTTCCACTACTCTGTCTTCCAGTTTGTTGATCTGTTCTTCTGTATCATTTAATCAACTGTTGATTCCTTCTAGTGTATTTTTTACTTCAATTATTGCATTCTTCAGCTCTGTTTGGTTCTTCTTTACCCTTTCTAACTCTTTGCTAAGTCTGCCACTGTGTTCATCAATTTTTCTCCCGAGTTCATTCAGCATCTTTATGATCATTACCTTGAACCCTTTATTGGGTAGATTGCTCATCTCCACTTTGCTTAGCTCTTCTTCTGGCATTTGTTCCTTCACTTGAAACACGTTCCTTTGTCACCTCATTTTGCCTAATTCTCTGTGTTTATTTGTATGTATTAGGCAAGTCAGTTACGTTTCTCGTTCTTGGAGAAGTGACCTTATGTAAGAGATGTCCTATGGGGCCCAGCTACATACTCCCCTCTGGTCACCAGAGCTATATAATCTAAGAGTGCCTTGTATGTGGGCTGAGTGGGCACTTCTGTTGTGGTGGGGTCAACTACTGTGGGCATGCTGGTAGGTAGGGCTAGTTCCCAGGCCGGTTGGCTGCCAGGTCCTGCCTCATGTGGAGGCTGCTAGCTGCTGTTAGGTGGGTCTGGGTCCTGACACAGCTGGCTACATGGCCTGGGAAGTCCCAGGGCCGGTGCCAGCCCACTGGTGGCTTGGGCTGGGTCCTGGTGTGCCTGGTTGCAGGCCCGCAAGTTCTAGGGTTGGTCTTGTGTTGCTGGTGGGCAGTGCTGGGTCCCAGCATGGCTGGCTGTGGGGTTTGGGGATCCCAGTACTGGTGCTAATCAACTAGTGGGCATGTAAGCCCCTGGTTCTAATAGGCTAGAAGGAGGACTCCAAAATGTTGCTTGCCAGCACCAGGGTCGCTGTGGTAGAATGAGCTTCCCACTGCCTGCTGCCAGTATATGTGTCCCCAGTGGGAGTCCCAGTTGCCTCCTACCTCTCTAGGAGGCTCCAACCTGCTTTCAAATTTGGTCACTGAGATTTTCCTTTAGAATATAAACATCATGATTAAACTTCATTTAAATTTTTAGGTTAGAATTTGTGATAACTGAGACTTGTCTCCCTTAACCCCCATAAGCACCATCTTAACAAATAACAGTGACAGAAAACCATTCTGATAAATTTATGAAAGCAAATTCCTTGTAGATGTCCACCAACTAATATTGTGGTAGTCCTGAGAAGATATGTGTTAAAAAATATTAAAACAGGATGTGTTTAAAAAGTCTACTATACGTTCAAATGATTCTACTCTGAATTAGAGGTTTAATTACACTCTAGTATAGAGTGAATAAATTTTCTCAGTGCATGAGACAGATCAGAGTTAAGTTGTAAACTTTCAGAAGTTACATGCAAAGGGGATAGTCATTGTACCTACTTTATATAATTTTTTAAGAATTAAATAAATTAAGCAATGTAAAGTGCTTAGAAGAGTATCTGACACGTAGTAAATGCTCAATAAATCATTAACTGTGATTGTTAAACATTCTTTCCCCAGATATTCACCTGGTTTTATCTCTTACTTCCCTCTTAGATCTCTGCTCAAATGCTGCCTTATTAGTGAGGAGTCTGGCAATCCCTATCCCTTTTACTTGCTTAATTTTTCTCCATGGCTCTTACTATCACTGAACATAATACATACTTACTGTTTATCTACTGTCTGCATTCATTCCCCACCTCCATCATCCCTAACTAGAATGTAAGCTCTATAAAGAGAGGTATTTCATCTGCTTTGTTCACTCTATTATTCTCAGCACCTAGAAGAGAATCTGGAATATAATACAAGGTCAATAAATATTTGCTGAAAGAATAATAGTTCCTATTTATAAGCCCTGAGGCAGCAGGAGTCAGCTTACATGTCTTTTTCCCACACAGTATTTCCCAAAGGTTAGGACTATGCCTTATTTTCCTTTGCATCACAGCATCTAGCACCCCACACAACGCTATGTGGATGAGTACATGCACAAGTTAGTGCTACCTATGTCTGGGACGTTTTCCTAATTCCCTAACAGCTGCTTCAGATTACTCTTCATTCCACAACCTCCAAGGCATTTTCTCTCATAGCCTCTAGTAATGACTGTGAAGAAAAAGTCTCTGAGCACTGTTTCAGTGATTGGTATTCAGTGTTCAGATCCATTTGGCCTCATTATTTTTGACATTTTGCCCTCCTCAACTTTGAATCAGGGAGATGAAGGAAATGTCACATTTGTTCTGAAAAGAAAACCACCAAAAAAACTTTTAATGTGATTCCTGTGAAGATGCAGATCCAGTCATGGGACAGAAACAGAAACAAATAAATATGAAAAGGCTGGAGGGTGGAGGAGGGGGGATATCGTTAAAACACAACAGTACAGGTTTTATCCTAGAATAAAGACTAACTCTGTCAGCATGGTTTGGGTGCTCAGTGAAACAAACACAAGAGGGATCCTTTTATTGAGAAGTGACGGGAACATTATGCCCTTCCTAACTTAAAGGCCTCTTCCTGGAACCAAACCAAAAGGTCACCTAAGTTCCTCAGGCCTTATCTCTATATGCAAAAGATAGCTTGATGAAGGATACTGAGTGTTGAAGAACAGAAACAAAGTGAATAATGAGGGAAGGAGATTTTGTACTTCCAATAATGAGCATGAAACTTTCCACACAAACATGCTTCTTTCTTGTCTTACGCCTACAAGTATGCCAGCAGAAGTCTTCCACTGTGAGGCTGCAGAGATTGGCAACGATTAAAAAAATATTTTTTTCTTCTCCCATCTTGCAAAAATTTATTTTTATATCACCCACAAAGGTGTAACCTGAAATTATAAACTAACATAAAATTTTCTTTTGTGAGGTCTTTCTCCAGACTGAGGGGGATACTCCTCTTCTTGACTTCACTACCTAGTATACAACTCCTTCAGGACAATTATATAATGACACTGATTATTTGTTACCCGTATATTGCCTACCAGTTGGATACGCCCTGAGATAAGGAGCCACATATTATCTTTTATTTCTTTGTGTATTCCTAATGACCTGTAACCGTCTAGCATATTAGATGTAGTTCAAAAAAAGAGTGAAGAACTTTACCACTATTGCTGATTCTTCATTTCACATGGCAACCAAACGCTTTACAACAACTTTTAAACAAATTTCTCTTACCTCTATTCATTTAAATGAACCTAATTTTAGGAAGAGCTTGTCCAGCATTTTTGATAAAGAGCAAACTAAATATGTAAATATTTAATCTGAGAGATTTTTAATGGCTTGTTTTTTCTCCTGTTTCACTCCTAAACCCAGTCTCCACAATCTTAGAATACAATGCTGGATAGACAACTTTAATAGTTCTTACTTCTTTGACTGCCAAAGATTCTGTGATTTAAACACTCTAACAGTGAATTACCTAAGAGAGAGATCTCCACATTATCAGCAGCTGTCACAGTCACTAGGATGCTGGTGCTAAAATCTCGTGAATGAACTCAGTCTTAATCTAGAGAGACCTGAGGCGCAATACTAAGCAACAAAGCATTAACTACCGGAGCCACATATATAAGCTAATCTTGACCCCTTTTACAAAGAATAAGCTAATCAGAAAAATGGTTTCTTCTCTAACTGTACGAATACTATGCCTCATTTAAGTTTAATTCTCCATCTCTTCACCCTCTTGAAGCAGAAAAGTCTTATAATCACCTTGGATTCTATATACCTTGTTGAAAAATTAATTCATGCTTTGGTCCCCTAAAACAATAACAGAAGTTTTATGATATGCTTAGGTATCAAAACCAATCCTGAGATGTCAAAAGCAGAATTAATTCAGAGTGGGAAAAACATTTAAGTAAAATAATGAAGGAGAGAAACGGTATTTAAATTCCTGAGAAAATCTTTAAAATGACTCAGAAAACCAAAGAATTTCCAAAGAGGAAAAAAATATGCACAAAATGCTATTGCTACATTTATAACAAAATGCTATTGCTACATTTATAAATGCTATTGCTACATTTATAGCCTGGACTACCATGGGGAGAGGAGTTACTAGCTTCTGACCACACACACATAAAAGAAAAAAATCAAGTTTTACAATTCTTACAATCCAAGCAGATACTACTGCCATCTGTACCATAAGGGTTGCTTGGTGTAAAAATATCATGCTGTGCTATGGATCACAGCTGTAAAATATTCATATCCTTTTATCTAAATACTTCCAAGTCCAGAAATCTAGATTAAGGAAATAATATGGATAATTTCAGGCGTACCTCATAGCACTGGAAATTGGAAATAACCTGTCGAATATTAAGAGAATGGTCAAGTAAGCAATGGCATTTCCATTCAGTGGATATGTAGTCACTAAAAAAGAGATTTACAATGACTTTTTTTAGCAACCTGGGAAAAGGGATCTAGTGCTGTATTAAGTAAAAAAAGAGTTCAAATTATACAGAATATGATCAACTACAAAAATGTATAACTACATAAATGACTGAAGGGAATATGTTGATATTTAAATAGTTGTTGCCACTGAGTAATGAGACTGTGGGTAATATTTTTTCCTTGCTTGTATACTTACCAACTCCATATTTTCTAATGAGCATGAATTATTTTGCCAGTCAAGGGAAAAACTTATGATGCATTCAAGAACAAGTAAAAGAGTAAATAAAGTAATACTTTAACATTTTTTCAACTAAGCTACAAATTCAGTCTGATATTTTAAAATGAAGGATTAAGATGAACTATTTCTATTTGTTTCTCTCTAATAGGTCTGTAATATCAAACTGGAAAAATATCTGTGAAAATTTTTTCTTGTTTTATGTCCAAATGTTCATTTAATCCCTAACTCTTATACTTAAACAAGAATTATAACTACATAACTTGGCTTATATTTGGCTGATGAATTTCTTGGTCTTTTGTTTGTCTGTGCACACGCACACCTGCGTGCGTGTGTGTGTATGTGTGTGTGTGAGAGAGCGAGAGAAAGTGTCTGTGTGTATAATCAATAGAGGGAGCCTTAAAGAAAAAGCAATTTATATCAGGTTAATTTAGATTCTTATGAGGTAGAAATAGGGTTTAAATGATTATCCAATGATATGGATAAATACCTGCATTATAGTATTCATTCCAGATTTGTTTTTCTTCCCAACCCCCATTTGTGACATAAAAGAGGGACTGAGAAATAAGTTAATTAAAAGTCAAAAAGGTCAAATGATAATTGCTAATAAAATGTTTTCAAACAGATAGGACTGAAATGAACATAATTCAATACTTACTGGGCACTTACTAGAACTAGGTATAGTTTCTAAAGTGCTTATAACCTAGTGAGGGAGACAGAAGTAAGCAAGTGCTAAATACTAAGAGGAATGCACAGAGGAGAAACACTAAGTCAAGGATTCAGGGATGATTTCTGGAGTAGATGGCATTACTCTATAGTAGCACTACTCATACTGTATTGTAACTGTCCATTCCCCTACTAGATTGGGAATTCCTTGAGAGCAGAGAGTGTCTTGCTTATCATGGAATCCCCACCACCTAGCACAGTGCCTGAAATACAGGCAGGCGGGCTCAATACAGCTCAGTACAAGTTGGCAGTCCTTATTATTTCACTTACAAAACTCATCTTTTGATTTTTTGCCTTTTTAAAAAATATAATTTCCAAATTCCAGAAATTTTTATAAGATGAAAACTTATATCTTACACATGGTTTCAGCTGCCTGTGATTGTTGGTGAAGATAGTAAGAGCAAAAGGGCAAGCACCTGGTGTGTTTTATTGCTAACAGTCTTGTGAGTTGGTTAGTATTATGGACTAAATGTTTGTGTCCCCCCAGAATTCATATGTTTAAGCCCTAACCCCCAATGTGATAATATTTTGAGGTGGGGCCTTTGGGAGGTACTTAGGGTTAAATAAGGTCATGAGGGTAGGACCCTCATGATGGAATTAGTGCCCTTCCTTGCTCTCTCCCTTCCAAGCACATAAAGCTCATGTGAGTATATAATGAGATGACTGCTGCCTACAAGTCAAGAGAAGGGGTTTCAGAATGAAATCTACACCTTGCTGGCACCTCACATATGCTTTGATCATAATAACAGTTGCACAAGCACACAGCTGTTTGAATTTAAACCCCCCAATAATCAGTAACAACATTCATTGTAACAAGAATCACAAGTCATGGGAATTAAGGATTCCTTTCAACTGAAAAGAGATGGTTCACTCTAGAATCATTAGTTCATCTAACTTACTTTGTTTTTGCCTCCTTTAATAAAGAAGGGTCATCTGTGGCCAAATATACTCTTTTTTTATCCACTTGCATTCTGCGAGAAAGAAGCTGAAAATGTTCTTCAACATGTACCATGTATTCCTCAATGGGGTGGAAGGCTGCTTCTGTTCCCACTTTGTCTGTGCGTCTGACATGGACTCTGCAGGGGCAGAGGGAGAAAGTCAGATTCTGCTGATAATGTTCTGATCCACTGAGTACTTTTAGGGTACTCAACTTTATACCTCTATTCATGGTGGCGTTATGGACCTTTTAAACCAATTTTTCTTTCATTTTCACCATTAGAAAAAAATAAAACCAATATTTAAAAAAATTCAAACACATATATTCTAAATATATTTGCATATTAATACAAGGGGGAATCAGAAAAAATAAGTTAAGTCTTTGAAGAATGCTTTCTTATAAAGAGAAAGTAATTGGCATAATAAGGAATAAATGGGAGATTCCAGAATTAGACCGCATATAAGGCAGCAAATACCAACCAGCCTTCCAGAAAAAACTGGATATAATTTTTAATATATTTGACAATAAAGGATGCCAAGATTCACAGTTGTTATTACAGAACATTAAATATACCATTTGTAATGTTTTGATGCCAAGTTTTCTTTTTCTTCATTTTATCCTGTATTGTCACTGTAATGCCAGCTTGTTGAATTTAAAGTTGTGCAAGGAAAACACAGACCTGTATGGATTCTTCCTATAGCACAATCAAGGCAAGGCAAACCTTTTAAGAGTTCTTACTATTTTAAGTTCATGGAGCCATGCCAGCCTTTTTGTTGTAGGCATAATGAATGTCCTTTCCCGGCTTTTTACTCTATCAAACACAAGCAGATACTGATCTCATCTGTCCTATTTAAGAAAAGCTCCAAAACTGTAAAATTGGGGACACAGATTTACATTGTCCTGCGCTGAATAAGGCATTGACTTCCAACAGTATTTTAATGAAAACAGGAATAATAGTTAGAGTTTGTTTTCATAAGTTAAAACACTACTTAAATTTGCTCTCCCCACATCTCCCCTCTTCCCAAATTAATAAACCACTATTCATATATTGGAAAAGAAAAAAGGTAGATTTGTTTCCTTTAGGTCACTATACGTGGGCATGTCTTAAGTCAAGCCTAGGGCCAGCTTTTTATTATGTATCTGGAGTGAGGGTTTAACTTCACTGGAGTTACTCTGACATCTTCGTGGCTGTTCTTTCCTTTGCATTTCAGGTGATAGTCCAGATGTGAATACTATCGTATGAACACCTATCGTATCATCTTTTCCTTCCCACGTTCTTCTTAGTCACTGGTTCTCTCAGGAAATTTGGAATTGTTCACTGTGCTCCATGGAGATGAGACAGGGCAGAAAGAACAATTCCACTGAATTTCAATGAAAAGTTTCATGAGAAGAAACACTATTTGAAACTCTGATTTTACTTGTTCTTGTTTTAGCTCTACTACTTAGAACAGGGGTCAGTAACTTCTATACATATGAAGACTAAGAAACAGGGAAGAAACGGGGTAGGAGTATGAAAATAAAGATAAAAACAAAGGAGAGCTATAACAAGAAGGAAAAATCAAAGGAAGAGGAGCATCTGACATAGTGGCAGAGTACTACTAAGCAATTTTCTCAATTTTCCAAGTATTCCTGAAATTAGGCCTGGACCAATAATTTGAGAGAGGACCTTAATGGAATTTTTATGGAAGAATCAGAATGTTAGGCCTGTGAAGGTTATTAGAAGTCATTTGGTTTAATGTAACTCTTTCATCTGACAGGTAAAGAAACTGATGTCTCTGAAGATATTTCAGGGAGCAAAATGACAATATAAGGCAAAGGGAGGCTGGTTTCTTTCACATACATTTTAACCCAGTCTTTACAAAAGTAAAAGTTATTTGTGTACTTGCCTGATTTTCACTATCTATCAAAGCTCCTCCAGGGCAAGGAATCTGGTTTTATTTATTCCCAATTGCACCAAACACAACAAATGAATGAATGAATGGATGATGGGCAGACACAAAAATCTAACTGTTTAGTATTGTGTAAGTAGAAACCTTAGATACTACTATCTAACCTAGCATTTTCTTTTGTTTTGTTTTAATAAATGAAAAAAGAGTGACAATTAATGAAGGCCCAGAATGACCAAGTAAGTTGTCCAAAGTCACATAACTTGTTAGTGGTGGAAACCAGATTGGACCCCCAGATTCTTGAACTCTAATGCACCCCTCTTTCATTACAGCACACTACTTAAGTGTGCAAATAACTTAGCTGTCTGCGGTACTTCAAGTTTCTATATTTGGCCAATTCTCAATGTGGTGGATACTCCATGAAAAATTAATAAGGGTAGCTTTCTGGTATGTAAAACTACAGGAAATCCAGACAAAGTTAAGCAGGTGTAAGTCCTGGTTTTGCCTTTATAAACTCTGGAACTTTGGGAAGAGATTTTCTTTCCTTAGTTTCCTCACCTGTAAAATGGTTATCTCTGCCCACATCACAGGACTGTGTTACAGAAATCAATGAGATAATGCAGTTGAAGTTACTTTGGTAATGTAACTACTATAGCGTTATCTTTCTCCATCTTCCAAGATCCTGTTCAAACATTGCAGCTATGAAGCCTTTCTTGGTGCTTTCTTGGGAAATGGAAGTGCACTTCCCCTCCCTCGACCTCTCATAAAATTTTTTATGCTTTCTCTCAGGGCATTTATCACATTCTGCTCATATAATGTTAGTTGTGTAAGTCTCTTTTCCCATGGACTGTGAGGAGTTAGAAGGAGCCATTAAAAAACATTTAACCTCTGTCCCCCACAGTAGCAAGTATTCAATAAACATTCTGCAGATAAGTGAATGAATCAACACATGTATTAATATTAATCAATAGCTGACTTTATTACAAACACCAGAAGCTGCAGAATGCCAGTCTAGCCTACAAATCTATTTTCAGGAATTACTTAAGCATCATCAGTCTCTCTGAAAGGTAATAATATTTTACAGTGTATTTTTTCCCACAGAACTAAAATCCTTTTTCATCCTTATATTATCACATCATCATTTTTAGGGCAGGTATTGTCTTCCCTATTTTACAGATGGAAAAAAAATCAAAGCTCAATAATACTATTATTAAGTAACTTGGCCCAGAATTAGGGAAAATCCAGGGATATTACTGAGGTCACTTAACTCTCAATCTAGTATTCTTCCCATTAGGCAAAGAACATTTCCCGTGGTGTGAAATCTGGCATCAGGACCCAGGAAAACTCCTTACTCCATAACTTTTTATGTATGGGTATAGGAGCACATGCTTGTGAGCAAAGATGCTCTTTTGGATTTTTTTTGCTTCCAGGATTTCCTGATATATCTCCCTTAACATAAGCATGAGACTGTACATATATACATGATAACTCCCAAGTGGGCCAAGAGATAACTTTAAACAATAATTTTAACATTATCTTACATTACTAATGATATCTTTATTCTCAAAGTAGCTTTCAAAACAAAAAAGAAAACAGAGCATCAAAAATGCAAAATAATCACCAGTGGCAATTAATGAAATCTAAGAATAAGGTGCAATAGAAAAGCTATAAATATGAGAGCTTCATCTCGTAGCCCTGTTAGAGAGTAAGACAGGAGTCATGTATAGCATCTAAAATACTCCCAACAAAATAAGATTTTGCTGGTTTCCCCAGGAGAGACTGTTAATTTCAGAAATATGGTTTTATATATTTGTGGAATGAATAAATGAATAAATGATTAAGGGTGACTAAATTACGATGACTCAGCTGTTCTAAATGAACAAAGGAAGAATAATCTCCCTGTGGCCTAAGGTGAACTCTGGAACCTCTGTTTTTGGGTGGGGCTATGAAAATTACACTATATCTTGTAAAGTTCACACTGTATTGTAAAGGTATGTATCCCTGCTACTACATATCCCTTTTAGGAGGAACAAATCAGGTTCTTACCCAATAACTGGATGTTTGAAGCCTAGCTTCTTGGTGGCCTCTTCTATTTCTTTTTCCAGCCAAGGTTGTGGGCGGATCAAGTATTTGACAAACTGGGACACCCACCACACTGCAGGATCACCATGGACTCGTACAAGTCGATCTGCAAGGTCTTCTGGTACAGCCAGGGGTAAATATGGAGGACGAGGATGAAGACTGTCTACAATGGGGAGCTCAACCACCTGAACATTTTTGTCCTTTACTTCACCTGAGGGAATATCAAAACGTATCATCACCACATTGTATCCCTTGTACAACTACCATTTGACAAGAACTCACTCTGGGTGCTTTTATCTTCACAGAAACTCTAAAGAAGTATTATAATTTTCATTTTACAGAGGAAGTTAAGTAACTTGCCCTAGATACCAGAGTAAAAGTGACAGAGCTGAATTTCACATTCAGGTTGGTCTGCCCCTCAAGTTCATGGCCTTTTCTTTTCTATTATAATGTGCTGCCATATCAACACTTCATATCCCAGATAACAATGGTATCCATTTTTCTAGATTCAATATATACGTTAATATATGGTACTCTTTTTTCTCTTTCCGACTTACTTCACTCTGTATGACAGACTCTAGGTCCATCCACATCACTACAAATGACTCAATTTCGTTCCTTTTCATGGCTGAGCAATAGAGGGGTGGGATGGGGAGGGTGGGAGGGAGGCTCAAGAGGGAGGGGATATATGTATACATATAGCTGATTCACTTTGTTGTACAGCAGAAACTTATACAACATTGTAAAGCAATTATAATCCAATAAAGATTAAAAAAAAAAAAGAATGGTATCTGGCACTCAAAGCATCTAATCAGAGAATAACCATATCGCCAGTGGACACGGCTCCCTAGGCAAAGGTTCTGTTCTTTATAATTGTTTTTTAAAAATTTTTATTGGAGTACAGTTGATTTACAATGTTGTGTTACTTCTGCTGTTAAGAGAAGGACAAATATTGTATGATATCACTTATATGTGGAACCTATAATTGTTGCTTTTGAATTAGACACAGTGTTCTCAAAACTTCCAGCTTGCCATTATAGCAAATGGCTCTTGCATACTTTCATGACAGACCACAATGACTCTAGAGATATCTAAAGATTACAATTTTAAGACAAGCATCTCTCTCTTTTGAAGAAAAAAATTTGATACTTCTAAAGTTTTTTTTTTTTTTTCTTGGCCAAAATTAGACCTATTATATTCTCAATGATGATGAATAGAATCTGTGTTGATTGTTTACCTGGATATTTTAAATTTAAAGTTAGAACAGAGATAGAGAATTTCTGTAGATGACGATTGGTTTAAAAACCCGACTTCTATATACCATTAATGTTACTGCTGTTCTTTATAATGCAATGAGAACAAACCAAAATGTGATAGACAGCATCCTTAGAGTTTACGTCACATACTAAAGACCACATAGTAATAACTAGAAAATACAAAGATATCAGGCAGAAGGATTTCACAAATATAAAACGTACTGACTTAAATTTTCAATAACAAAAAGTATTAACCTGAACATACAAAATAACTCCAGTTAAGATGTTGTCATTGTGCATAATAAATTAGAATCACAGTTAAACACTGGACTGTCAAAGAAAGTTAAACACTGGACTGTCAAAGAAAGAATATGTACTTTTCTACATATATGAAAAGTATTTTTAAAATAAATTACATGATCTGGGTATGTGATCACTCAAACCAATTGCATAGTTATTAGAAAGTCGGTATAACTAAGAATTAAAACCTTCTGGTTAATATTCTCTCTCTCTCTCTGATACATAAAACTCATTTCAGGAGTCTTAGAACAAAGCCCTTGAAACATGACATTTGTTGAGGGAATAAATGGGAATAAACAAATTTACTGCCAGTATTTCAGTTCGTCTAGCATGCCAGTTAAGAAAGAGTTGGGCCCCTTTATCAGATGAGAAACTGTAATTCAGAGTGTGTGGGGAAAGAATGAGCTGCATTTTAAATTAAGCTCTAATAGTCTCCCTAAGGCAAGGAAAATTGGGGTGCTTTCCCTGATGTGGAGATGATAAGTATGTATGATAAGTATGTATGAGAGAGGAAAAAATAAGGAAGAAAGGTAGCTCTTTTTTTATAAAAAACAAAGAGGGAAAGAAAGAAAGATCCTAGCTTCTCATATACGACCAAAAACAAAAGCAAAATTAGTACGGCTACCTTCTTTTTGTGATTACTTCCGGAAAAGGTTACTCTAAATGTTCCATGTAACTAGCTCCAAACTTCATTCATGTGAAAGTATTACCTTCTAATTGTCCTAAGACCTCAAACTTCTGTACAGCTAGCCCTATTGACTATTTCATTTCAGAAATGAAAACTATGCTTGTACCTTCAAGACAGAGCTCAGTTTATTTTTATTGACTCTTTTATTCATTCATTCATTCAAATATTTACTGACTACTACTATGTCAAACTCTGTACTAGGCAGAGTATAGAGTGATGACATGGTTCCTGCCTTTCAAGATTTCCAGTTCAAAAACCTCACCCAGAACTAGAAGGCTTTTGGTGAAAGAAAAACAAACAAAATGAAACAAGCCATCATCACGAACAAACATGCTATCCAAAACATATCAACACGCAGCTGCCTAGTAAAATATTAAGAAAGGGGTATTCATATTTATAAATGAAAAAAACTGTCATAGCATGAAAGTTTAGCCTCCTCAATAATGATACATTTCAAAATGAAAGATAATTACACAGTACACACTATGTTAGAAGGTCTTTTCTTTTACTTGGTTTACCACATAACATTTTTTATTCTATTGGAATACACATTCAAAAGAATTTAAATCTGGAAGAGATGCTAGAGATAATCTTATTCAGTGTTTTCTAAACTTCAGTCATTTAAGTATCACCTTTGTAATTCTCCCCATATCCATATACCATCTGTACAATTTCATGTTTTAAAAATGCACTTTTTAAAACTTAAATTGATTTATTTTATAGATGGTAACTAAAAATATAACTTCACTAAAAACAAACCATGTTATTAAACTCTATACAGATACTATTGCTTATAAAGAGCTCTGAGCTCAAGTCAGATTTATATTAAAAAAGACTCTTAGTGAGGTTTTAAGGGGTGATAATTGCCTCTCCCTTTATATCTCCTATGAGTTTGAAACCAAATGAAAAGCAGAGAGAGGAATAAAAAGGCAATCAAAATATCAGCTTGATTACCAATAAAGATGAACTGGAGAATGCAGTTTTGTGTTCTGGATTGATGGTCTCGTGGGTTTCCTAATAGTTCCCACCCAGTCCTAAGCAGAGTTTGTCAACAAAGGCCTTCTATGCACATGGTGGAGGAGGAGCGTGTCTTCTGAGAATGGGCCGCACCATGAGAGGAGCCAGAAAGGGCTTGACCTCACATGTTTGGTTCTTCCTCTTAACTCACCAGTTGTATAACACAGGACTTTCCTTCCAAGTAGAGGTGAAATGAGGTAGACACAGAGCAAAAAAGCACTTCTGTACTTTTCCCTTCTAAGGAATGGAATTAACTTCGCTTCTGTAGAGATTTTTGAGGAATAAACGATCCACAGTATCTGCCTACCTCCATCCCCAAACAACTATCCAGTGTTAAAGAACTATTAAAGGTATCTTGATATCAAATTGAGACTGATATAATCAGAAAGACTGAACAAGCAATAACTCTCTCAGGTATGAGATTCAATGTTCATTTTAATGTTTTATCAGAAAACCACCTCACATTATCACATATGCCACCTAAAGTCACCTCTAGTAATCTGTGTGGTAGGTTTCAGAATTTGGGAAACACAGATTTATTTAAACTGCCTCATTTTCCAGAAGAAATAGACTAAGAGAGGTTAAGAGAACTTCTCAACGGTAATACAGCTAATGATCAGACTCTAGTGTTTACTCCACTACTTGTCTTATCTTCTGCTTTCTGGAACATAAATTTTTAGAAAGCATTTAAGTATGGCCCTGTTGACCAATCAAGAGTGCCCTGCCACTCTAAGAGGACTCTAGTGTTGGTTTAAAAAAAAAAAAAAAAAAAGCACTGCATCAACCTTCTAGCAAGAGAATGTTTCAGATGTACAAATCATACATAAGTCAGCACTATTCGTCTGTAAAGAACCAGTGCAAACTAGCCCGGGCATCACACAACTGACTGCCCAGTTCAACTTGAATTGATTAGGTCATTATTAATTATCTCATATTCAAGACTACCTCTCTTGAGGATAATCCTCTTTTATCAAGTAATTTGCTGAGGGCAGCTCTGGCAGGAGCATAGGTAGCTCTTTGAAAGGGATGATCTCCATAGTTACAGGCAAGTACCTTTAGAAGAGCCCTCTTCCCTGCTAGTCAATTCATGAGAGCCCCATTTAAAAGCACTACTCTGTCATCATTTCATGTAACATTAAGTCAGAGACACCAGCCCTGCAGCTAGTCAATTAGAATTATTAGTCTTCCAAAGACTCAATAGAAAGGGCTTGAGAAGCTTAATATCCACCATAAATGAATGGGTTCTGCTATAATGAAAAATGTTTCAAGGATAGAAAGATTTTGGGTCCCAGTGCATAAGATTTCTTCTGTATTTACTGTCTGTTGTGAGAGAAGCAGCACTCAGGAGGGAGAACTCTCCTAAAAACTGAATTCATAGAGCTCAGAACTGTCAAGGCAGAGAGGTTTGGAATAGGGTTGCCAGTTGAGAAAAATCTTCAATAAGACATCACTATCTAGAACTTAAATTCACTTGGTGGGAGGAGGGGGTTATTAGTTAACTTTTTGGTGATTCTGAACCAGAAAAGCTGTCTATTTTTTGGACTCAGGACTCTTAAGATTTCCCTCAGTACCCACACAGGTCCTGGCTTCCTCCAAATAAGTACAGAGCAGTAGAATGAGGTTTTAATTCTCTACCTAAGGGTTGCCTTGAATGGCTATAGCTGCTAGGTGCCATCACATCCAATAGCCATTCCAAAGACTGTGTCAACTGCTGGGATTCATGGCCCTATTTGAGGCTGGAGCAGGGAAAGACATCAAAAAAAAAAAAACAAAGTAAGGCAAATGCTTATTCATACAGTACCTTGACTGTAGTGCACAGTGATTAAGAGTATGGGCTTTGGAATTATAAAAATTGGAGCTCAAATCCTCTATCACTTAACAGTTGTGTGACCTTGCATAAGTTATATTTCACTTCACCCCTGTTTCTTCATCTGGAAAATGGCATTGATA